GATACATGTTAGTGTTAGTTGAAATGTTATTCAAGATAAATTTCTATCAAAACCTTACTCAATTCAAGATTTATTATTGTGCTATTTTTGGCCCATAAATGAAATTAGAAAATTGTATGAGGATCCCAAATCAGCAAATAATGTAACCATTAGCATAAGAGATCACACACATATTAATGAAAAAAATTACATATTTTACAAAGTAATGTACCGTAATACATGATTTTATAGTAACACTTAAAATTGCCCTCATCACAAGTGAGCTATTAGAAAATTCAATTGTTACAAAATTCAAAACGGCAACTATCCCATGTATATTTCCCTGGAGATTTACTCGACCAAAGTATCAAGAGCAAGTCACATGTTCTAGCACTCTCCATATAGTGCCAAGACTTATATGCGAGGGGGGAGACGATTCTCCGTTGATATGGGACAAGCGTGTTCGCGGAGATCGAGAGGTAAAGGCTACTGGCACAAAGCGCGAATAAATTCCCAAACGCGCTTTCGGTGGGAGGAGGATATCCCCAACGCGTGAATAAATTCCCTACAAAAACAGAGAGGAATTGTCATACATTGTTACCAAGTAAACAGCTGAGGTCATTGGGTATTATGCCAGTGCATACACACGGTGATTTGCAGAGTATAATATAGCTGTGAAAAGTTGGAAGAATTGCGAATATCTTGAATTTTCTTAGGGTAAATTTGGTTAAAAAGAAAAAAATTATGGAAAGTGAAAATGAGAGAAAGTGAAGTGAAAGAAAAGAAAAAAAATATATATATTTTTATGCATGTATTTGGTTAGAATGAAAATTTACGGGAAAATTTAAAAAAAAAATTATTTTATTGTTTAAAAGAAAGGAAAGTTATAAGAATTTTTTGATAATTGTCTAAATTACCCTTAATTATATTAAATCAATATGAAAAAAAAATATGTAATTATAGTTGAAATTTAAAAAAATTTTAAAAAGTGGCTTGAAACCTAATTCTAGGATAATCACCAAGGCAAAGGTCTTTGGATCAAAGTATATGATTAATCAAATTAATACAATTTTTTTAAAATTAATAATTAATAAAATATTTTAAGAAAAATAAGGATAAAATGGTATATTAGTTTTATATCACAACTTTCTTACATTTTCTTGTATTTTTTTACAAGAAAAAAAAAGTTAGTTATTTATGAGAAAATTCAATTATGAAAGAAAATTATTTTTTTATCATATTCCTTTTCATGTTAACCAAACACATGAAAATTTTTAAAAAAAATTCTTTATAATATTTTTTACCATTCTCCTACTAAACAAACGAACCCTTATAGATTCTGTCAACAAAAAAAAAACAATCAATTTGATTTTGAAACTTTAGGTAAAAGGTGAACTTAGTGCATAAAGCTCCTGTTATTGCGGAGTAGCGGGGTCTGAGAAATGTGAGATGTACATAGAGTAAAGAGATTATTTCTATCATTTGAACCGGTGACCTCCAAATCATAATAAAACAACCTTACTGTTACGTTAAGTCTCACCCTCGTTTTAAAACTTTAGCTACCGTGTAATAATGCTTTCTTAAGTGTTTTTATTTTTATTTTTTATTCTTTAAGTAATTGTTACGTGTTAGGCAGTGTTTGTGTTTACATATTTATTTTTCGAGCAATGCTATTAAGACCTAATTTGCTGACTTAATTCACAATGACCTTTGGATTAACTGTGGAGTCCATCAATCATTGAAACTTGGTGTCGATCCAATGATTTCAATGAATTCACATCATTAAGTTAGCAAATTAAGTCAAATTTTTATGTTCAAATAGCATTAGTCTTTCCTCTAACGTTGATCGACACATTCCTTCGAAAATTGGGGTTAATTGCATTAAAAGTCTCTAAAGTATGAGATTCGTCTCATTTTAATCTCTAATATTTTAATTTCATTATTTTTGTCCTTAAAGTATTGAATATATTTTTATGTGGTCCCTCAAACAGACAACATCCACTTTGTTAGCAATTTTTTATTATAAACTTATTACGTAATACTTAAATATGGACAAAAAAATAATTTGAATAACTTTTAACTAAATTTCTATCCAAATTTTGGTCAAAAAGCTTCCCAAATTACTCAATTTTTATTATGAGTTATCCAAATTTTGGTAAAGAACTATTCAAATTATTTTTTGCCTATATTGAGATATCATGTAACAAGTTTAAGACAAAAAAAATATTAACAATTTGGATGTTGTCTGTTCGAAGAATTATATAAAAATATTTTTAATATTTCAAGGATAATGCAATTAAAATATTAAGGACCAAAATAAAATAAACTCTATACTTCGGAGACCTTTAGTGCAATTAACCCCAAAAATTTAACCCAGTTGAGAGTGAGTATTCATTTTCGGAATCCGGTTTCTTGGTAAATTAATAGAGAATTGATAACAGCATGAAGAAAATGGATTGCAGCAGTGTGGTTTGCCATTCTGAACTTCCACAAAACAATTCAGTGTCATGTTTTATTTACTTTAAAAAAAAAAAAAAAAGTTCTTGCAAGACAAAACAATGAAAGTACTTGTTAAAAAGTTATACCCAATATCCAAAACTATCGTCTAATGTAATATTGTCAATGTAATCAACATATTTCCTTTTCCTAATTTGGACTTACGGGTCTGTTAGTTTAATAGGATAATGGTAAAAAAAAAAAAGGTGAAAATTTTTAAATTTTTTATGTGTTTGATTAGCATGAAATGAAAAATTATAGATTTTTTTTTTTTTTTGCATGCTTAAATTTTCTCACAACTAACCAACTTATTTTTCTTACAAAAAACACAAGAAAGTTGTTATCAATGACCTAATTTCTCATTTTACCCTTATTTTTCTTAAAATATTCAATTAATTATTAATTTAAAAAAAAAATTAATACAAATTTGGCTAACCATATAATTTAGTTTAAAGATCTATGTTCGAATCGATCATTGTCCTAAAAATAGGTTAGGAGCAGAATTTTTTTAAAAATTATATTTTTTTTTCTTTAAACCGATTTAACCTAATTAAGGAAAATTTAAACAATTAGAACAATTTTCTAGTAACTTTCTCAAAAAAATTTGATGCCAACCAAATATATATATGAAAATATATGTTCTTTTATTTTTATTTTTTTTTCCTTCACTTTCTATCACTTCCTTTTTTATCATCTTTTTCTTGTTAACCAAACAACNTATGAAAATATATGTTCTTTTATTTTTATTTTTTTTTCCTTCACTTTCTATCACTTCCTTTTTTATCATCTTTTTCTTGNTTTTTTTTTTTTTTTGCATGCTTAAATTTTCTCACAACTAACCAACTTATTTTTCTTACAAAAAACACAAGAAAAATGTTATCAATGACCTAACTTCTCATTTTACCTTTATTTTTCTTAAAATATTCAATTAATTATTAATTTTTTAAAAAAAACTTAATACAAATTTGGCTAACCATATAATTTAGTTTAAAGATTTGTGTTCGAATCGATCATTGTCCTAAAAATAGGTTAGGAGCAGAATTTTTTTAAAAATTATTTTTTTTTCTTTAAACCGATTTAACCTAATTAAGGAAAATTTAAACAATTAGAACAATTTTCTAGTAACTTTCTCAAAAAAATTTGATGCCAACCAAATATATATGAAAATATATGTTCTTTTATTTTATTTTTTTTTCCTTCACTTTCTATCACTTCCTTTTTTATCATCTTTTTCTTGTTAACCAAACAACACTAAAGCCAGCACCGTGGAATCACAAACATAATTACAGGGGGAAGAGCGGGCATAGGACCCTTTGTTGATACGAGAGCAACCCACAACTTCATGCCCGAGGGAAAAGCCATGGTAACTGAGAACAATTCTCATTTTTTGTTGAGCATAGGAGTGTTCTATCAAGTTTTGGCAGGCACCACCGAGTGGAATGGAATGGTTCAGTGAGATACTGATCGGGACTTCACACTCTGAATTTAAAATTTGGCGTCTTGGAATTTGCAATGGAACTCAGTGATTGACCGCTATGCGGTCAGATGTCTCATAATTCTACTAGTGAGACTTATTAAGGTAGTCCTTGAACGCTCTCTATTGCCCCCACCTTTTTTTAGACAGCAAAAAAAANGCCAGATGTCTCATAATCCTACTAGTGAGGCTTATTAGGGTAGTCCTTGAACGCTCTCTATTGCCCCCACCTTTTTTTAGACAGCAAAAAAAAANGTCAGATGTCTCATAATTCTACTAGTGAGACTTATTAAGGTAGTCCTTGAACGCTCTCTATTGCCCCCACCTTTTTTTAGACAGCAAAAAAAAAAAAGTTTTGGCAGGCAAAAAGCACTGGTTCTATTCCTCCTTTCTTTTCCCTCTCCTTTCCAACAACAAAAAGAAATTCTATCCACCCCAACCTTTCCCCCTTCCACTTCATTTCGCCTGGTCTTTTTTCCATATCAAACAAAGAAGATNTTCCCTCTCCTTTCCAACAACAAAAAGAAATTCTATCCACCCCTACCTTTTCCCCCTTCCACTTCATTTCGCCTGGTCTTTTTTCCATATCAAACAAAGAAGATAAGGAATACCTACACACCACCATGTAATACTTGAGGTGATGTCAAAACAGTGGCCAATACCAACACCAAATTCAAATAGAATACAATAGGATCAATGAAGTTTTTGAAGTATAAGCATTTGAAACAAACTTCAATAGGCTGTAGGAACAGATATTTCCTTGATTGAAGCACATTAAATGAAATAAACAGTAATGTAACAGCTCTGTAAATGACTTTAGCCGCATCACCAAATCTGATCTTGTTCTTGTCAACTCAAAAGGGATAAGAATCCCAGTTCAATACAAGCTAACACTGTCACATATTGGAGTCTAATGGCGACTGAAAGCTTCAATTTCAAAGAGCTGACAGTCTCAAGAAGCAGCAATCATTGTTGTGTGTTGGAATGGCACGAACAAAAAACCGGCCAATTGGCTGGCAACCGATACCATGATCTCTCTCGCTGTGCTGCTTCAACCTATTGGATGCCGTCTCCTGCAATGTCAAAAAAAGACAGGTGTAGACTGAAATTCCGGACTCGGTTCAAGTTATTGTGTAGATTCTTCAGAAACACAATCCGCTTGTTAATTGTCATCAAGGATCAAAATTTAATTTTGATCGAAACGTTTCTGTTTTCAAAAAAATTGAAACGAACAAGTGTTCAAAATTCTAATACTTCAAAATGTTTCATAATATTTCGAGGTATTTTGTAATGTTTCAATACATTTGCACAATTGTTTTGGAATATTTCAAGGTATTTCAACTTATTTTGGTATATTTAGACTAATGTTTTGGAAACTAATTCTTAAATTTTTTATTTTTTTCATTCTATTTCCGAGACATTTTTGAAACACGTTGAAACATTTCTGTTTCCTAGGTGACTGAAACAATTTACCGAAACTAAATTTTAATCCTTGATTGTCATTCAATTCATTCTCAATGTATAGCTGGCTATCCTTCCATTCCATTTTAACAATACAATACGTTGTTTATTTTGGGGAAAAAACTACAATTTGGACAGAGGGGTCAACGTAGGACCTAAACAAAAAACATATTGCCAATGTTGCTATCTAGCATTGTTTTGCCAGAGGAAGGATCCCAATCTATCACAAATGTTAACCAAATAAGGAGTGAAAGGATTGTAAAAGCAGTATTACCAGACATTGTGGTGGTACAACACAAGAGTGGAACCTTATGATTACCTCTTCGATCGGGTTCGGTCTTCCTCGTAGTCCATCACTCCACCATGTTCAGAGTAGATCTCCTCATGGCCTCGGAAGTCAACATCGGCCTGCTTACAGTGTGTAACTTCTGCCACAATGTAAGTAAGACAGATCGACCAACATATCCCAGCACTTCAATAGATGCATTTTTTTTTACAAATTCGACGTCATAAAACCAAACAACAAGAGATTCCAAATGAGCAGGTCACGATACATTACATGGCAATTACAAGCCAAACTTGCTAATTTATTTTCAGTTTAGAGAAAAGCTATTGTAGAGTCGGGCAAAACTACTGACTTGGGTGGGGACACAGGCAAGCACAGGGAGTTTAGAAGTCAATGGAGATCATATTGTTTACTGAGTACTGACTATGTTTAGCATTGCAAATGAATCAATTTAGCTTTCCAAATTGAATTGTGAAGAACATCTTGAACCAAATCTTTACAATACTTGCAAATGATACCCGTAAAGACTCATTTTTCTCTTTGTTCATTGTGGTTTTATTTGTTAAAATCCTGCTACAAAGTTATATGTATCTCTTGTCATCGTCATTGGATGTAAGTGTTGAATATGATGCCACTTATAACTCAAAATTCTTAGTTAACACTGAGAGCATAGATGAGACTGTGTCTGCATATAATAGAAAATATGAGAATAATATCTCCACAAATAGTGTAACCACTCAAAAAATTTGTACTTTACAGGTAGACTGAAAGGAATTAATTTGTCGCAAAAAAGACAAGAAAAAAAGTTACATAGAAGAAAACAATTCAAACTGACCTTGAGGGTAAGGGACTTCTTCACCTCTTCCACCCTTTCTTCAACTTCCTTTTGATGTTTCTTATCCATTTCACTCATGGTATCTGCCCACTTTATCTTCTCTTGAATTGATATAAGAAGATTTTCTGAAGTAGCTAACCTACATTTCACACGAGACAAATATATATTAGACAGATAGACACCAGACGCAATATCCTCGAGGGAGACTGCAGAAAATATACAAGCATATAGAAAGCCATCCTCCTGCCTTTCTCTTGTTAGTCAAGATGGTATCTGGATCTCGAGATGCTTAGTATGTCCAAGTTTTATCCAGCAAGTACAACCTTTGCATAAATCAAGGCTAACTTGCAAGAGATTTGTTCAGTCAAAAATTGAGAAAGAGGAGAGGAAGTTGACACAATGTCACAGGACTTGTCGACAAGTTCAGGATCACAATATTCACAACAATGCCAAACCATGAAGGAAATTGCCATTTAGTTTTTTTACAAAACAGATGAAATTGCCAATAGAACCACTTGCTCGGTCAATTAAGTAAGCCTTCTGATCCAGCAAACTCTCTTAAACCTTAACACAGCTAATTCTAGCCCAAATGTGCCTGTCACAGCTTTGCTGCCAGTGCAACTCAGATCAAGACAATGGTTTGACTCATAATGCTGTCACTCAGGAATTTTGGAATGAACTCAGAGACATAGGAAACAATACAAGCAGTTCTTGGTATAATAAAGCAATGTAAAGATTGTTCTGGCAGGTAATATGAAGTGTTAAGTGTGCTTTCTTGTTAGGCATTATGACACAGGTCACCCAATTAGGTAGGCAGCTTAAACATTTATCCTGTGGTCCAGCTACAATACCTCAAACAACAATCCATTACATGCCAGTCTTTTTAGATAACTTCTAATGCCCAAACTTTAAATAACAACCTACATAAAATTTTAAAAGTTCATGGAGAGACGGTTATATAAATGGCGTGCCAATGCACAGCATGAACCAAACCTAACTCAAGATAATTACATAAAAATTAAATTAGATGAAGGAAAAAAATCCCATACAAATAGACCAAGTGAAATAAAGTTCACTAGACATGCATTGGCCTTTTCAACTGAGGCTCCACAACCTATCTCCCACTCCTCCCTTCTCATATGCAAGATAGGTTGTGGAGCCTCAAACAACAATCCATTACATGCCAGTCTTTTTAGATAACTTCTAATGCCCAAACTTTAAATAACAACCTACATAAAATTTTAAAAGTTCATGGAGAGACGGTTATATAAATGGCGTGCCAATGCACAGCATGAACCAAACCTAACTCAAGATAATTACATAAAAATTAAATTAGATGAAGGAAAAAAATCCCATACAAATAGACCAAGTGAAATAAAGTTCACTAGACATGCATTGGCCTTTTCAACTGAGGCTCCACAACCTATCTCCCACTCCTCCCTTCTCATATGCGAGATAGGTTGTGGAGCCTCAAACAACAATCCATTACATGCCAGTCTTTTTAGATAACTTCTAATGCCCAAACTTTAAATAACAACCTACATAAAATTTTAAAAGTTCATGGAGAGACGGTTATATAAATGGCGTGCCAATGCACAGCATGAATCAAACCTAACTCAAGATAATTACATAAAAATTAAATTAGATGAAGGAAAAAAATCCCATACAAATAGACCAAGTGAAATAAAGTTCACTAGACATGCATTGGCCTTTTCAACTGAGGCTCCACAACCTATCTCCCACTCCTCCCTTCTCATATGGGAGATAGGTTGTGGAGCCTCAAACAACAATCCATTACATGCCAGTCTTTTTAGATAACTTCTAATGCCCAAACTTTAAATAACAACCTACATAAAATTTTAAAAGTTCATGGAGAGACGGTTATATAAATGGCGTGCCAATGCACAGCATGAATCAAACCTAACTCAAGATAATTACATAAAAATTAAATTAGATGAAGGAAAAAAATCCCATACAAATAGACCAAGTGAAATAAAGTTCACTAGACATGCATTGGCCTTTTCAACTGAGGCTCCACAACCTATCTCCCACTCCTCCCTTCTCATATGCACCAAAATAGGTGTTCTGAAGCCACTTACCACACTACCCCCTTCCTCCTCTCCATCCAACCGCCAGACTAAATTAAAGCAATATATCCATAATTGATCCCGGCAACGAAGGAAAATAAGAATCCACAGTTCTTGCACCTGATATACATCTTCAGCACCATCTACAGTGAAATTTTGACTCAACTTCCAATTCAAGAATCACACCTCAAATTTATCACTTCTCAACTTCAGCGCTGAACACCCTCACTCTCATCTCCAACGCTAGCTCCACATAGCATATACAACAAAGAGTCGGCAGCCTCGGATGCCACATCCAGCACTTCCTTTTGCTCACATAACTGACCGTCATAGCCATCTCCTTCACCTCAACTCCAAAGAAACCAGGAAAAACATTCTTCAAAGCTCAGCCTCAACACCAAATATCAAGGCAAAACCTTGCGTCCAGTCCTGCTACAAATCTAATGTGTTTTCACATATCCCCTCATTATTCCATATACATTCCAAAGCTCCACATCATGAGCAACTTAGGCGAAGCATGGTGATCATTCTCATCATAACACTACTTTGCACTACCATTCCCCTGATGTCCACTTAGGACAATGATCCATTTATGTGTGAAGTAACTTTCATCAGGGCGATAATGCAGCAGCTTAGCTACGTAATTATGGCAGTACACCATCATGCATGAGACAGCTGCCCAAGACTTGCATGCAAGCAGTAGCAGTGACCAGAGACTATGGCTTAGATTGTCTCCTGATTCTAGCCTCTGATTTGCACATCCCTATTCGTTCCTGAAGAAAGGTTAACAGTGACCTTGGGCCTGCTTGGTTCTTTGTCAGAGCCTTTCTAGTCTATGCATGGTGCCAACTGCCAAGGCCGCCCAAGGAGTCACTCAGACCATGCCCAAGGCCCAGACTGCCCTGATCATGTATCTCGAAGCCACGGTCTAAGTGTTTGCCTGAGAGCAGCCTTGTACTGAGATTTATGGTGTATTTGGTAGGTTGGATGTGAAAATGGAGGGATAGAAAGTGTAGTCCTACAAGGAAGGAATATTTTCTTTCTACAAGGTAGGAGGGATGGAAAGTAAGAAAGATTGAATTTTGTGTTTAGTAGGATGGAAAAGTGAAAAGATGAAAAAAGTATAGATCCATATTTTACAAATGTATCTATATATGAAATTAATGTGTACATAATATGTAATAGATAAATAGGATATATACAAATAATAATTAAAGGGTATAAAAGTAAATAATATACATTTCAACATATATAATTAACTTTCCATCCACTTTTTCTCTTAATTTTGGAGGGATAGATTTTAGTGAGTTGAAAGGAAGACTAATCCATCTCCTCTTCCATCAGTTCTATTTTTTTTTTTTCACCAAATATAATATTTTCTCTATCCTTCTAACTTTCTATCCTTCCATTTTACTATCATACCAAACAAAGTATTAGGTAAGTGCCTCAGGCCTCATGATGGAATCTAGAACCCACATCCAGATATCCAACTGTGGACAGTGCCATGTGTTAGTCAGCCATTGGGGCAGTGGCAACGAATTATGCAGGTCTACACACACAAACCCTATAAAACAGCAAATCAACATGTCACCTATGATTCATGAGTTTTCTATTGTCCACGTCCTAAACTCTGCCCATCAATCCCTAAACAATGTTTTCCACATGAACAACAGTTTTTTGGTCCAAGCTTTCAAGGGAAAAAACTGGATACAGCCCTTCAATACATAAAAAGGATCAGTTGAAGTCGTATAAAATCCTTTAATTGAAGTAGAACCATCAGATTGCACCTCACAGCATTTCATACTTTTCTACTGCCATCTAAGACTATAGTCCTTGTCAAAGGAGATAAGAGTCACAAAAAACTTGTATTAGTCAAAAAAATAAACATAAATACAAACAATTAAGTTCCACATAAGCACCATAAATTTCAGTGATCCAAGTATAATGACAACCAACTAATTTGAAGACATCAGCTAGCAATCACAAGGGAAAAATTAAGAACCCAATCATAAAAGAAAGGAAAATAATAATTACAGAAGCAATGTAATTTGCACAGATACAACTAGTTTTGCATGAATCAGATTTTACAAGCTTAAATCACCAATTATAAATTGCTTTAGGAGCAGCAATCCTGATTACTCAGATTAAAGAATACACACATGCTTCCAAATCAACTGCATATCATGTACCCAGCAAGAATACTTGTTAGGCAGCCTCCATATCAGCTAATCAAATTGTAAAATTATGATGGTGTACAGGATCTCTCCAACAAACAATCATTGGCTCACCAACCTATCCGCACAAAATATATTTGAATACTGTTTAAACCAGAGACATTACCAATTTGTTAGTGTATGTATCATACTCCCAAGTTGTCCTGGTCTAAGATCCCTCCCTGCTGCAAATTGCACCTACAAATTCACATAACCATCAGATTGTGTAACAGTTACAAGGATCATACTCACTAACATTTCACCAGAAATCAAAAAATTAAAAATAAACAGAAGAATTAAAGAAAAATGAAACAAGAAGTTCAGACCTCAAAGCATCTTTGCAACTGATCCAGCTTTCCTCTAACAATACCCTACCCGAAAAAGATAGGAATATAGAAGTCAGCATATTTCTCAAAATGCCATTTTGTGAATAAAAGATCACCACAAAAACTAATACTTGCAAATTTTAAAGCTGTTCCTTGACAAAATTAAAATTAAAAATGAATAAAGACTTCCCAAGGAGCTACATAACTTGTATTTCAGAAAACAAAATACAGTGGATCAAATGCTACATAAGACAAATAGTGTAGTATCTCTTCTATGTGATGACTAAAAATCCCAAGACATTGAGTAAAAGAAAATCATGAAAAGAGGATGATGTTTTCCTACTGCAAGGTAATTAATATCGTTTTGTCAGCAGTAAATAAAAAATTTCAAGAAGTTGTTACGAGTGTCGAGCCAAAATACCTACCACATACATGCACTCATTGATTAGAAAATCTTCGAGCTCACGCACATTTGTAACATCCAACTCCTGCACCAGTACATCATATGGAAGTACCTGGAAAAGGAATCATAAATTGGAGCCCACAAACGCAAGCAACTGTCTCAATGAGAAACCATTTTAAAAATGGGACACAGCTTTAAAACATCAAAAAGGGTCATTAATCAGACAATCATATCGCATGCCAAGGTATACTAACTCAAGAAAGCTATAAGCTACAATGTCTCATTCACAGGTTGTAAACTACATATCATAAGTCAGTTTGTAAAAGGATTGTTAAAAATTCCCTTTTTGCTTCACTACAAATATGAAGTCACTATTTTTTTGACTTTACTAAAACAATATTATGAGTCCTGCGTCAGTCTAAAATCAATAATAGAGCAACCCTACAGTATACAAGGTTCCAAAAAATTCCCCCAGTTTAGAAAATTTTCAAATTTTGAACTGTTGGCAATTCCACCAGGAAAAAACTAGAGTTAAAACCATGACCATCTTTCCATCCTTTAAGCATAAGCTGAGCAGTCACTACGTTTGACCAGTCACACTAACATTGGCTGCCCACACCAACAGACAAGCTATCTCACCTTGTCTCTTCCATGTTGTACAAATTTGCTATTTACATTGCGACCATCAAACTCAACTTCTATATCTAATTGCCATGAAGTTTGAAAACTAAAAAATGTTTCAGTAGCCTTGTATTGCTTGCTTAAACCATCAACACGGAGAGTGCACTCAATCAAGGATTAAAATAAATCATCGTCATTCCTGTTAATGACCAAGTTGGAAAGAGTTGAAGTTAGATTACCTTGTTCGTCTCAGCCAGCGTGAGGACAGTAAGTTGCTTTAACTTGAGGACTTGATCGGGCACCAATTGTGGAAGACGGCCAGCATTACCTACAAATCACAGTCACTAACATTTAAATACAAAAATTCAATCCAAATACTAAGCCATCAGTAAACACAAGAGATACGAGGAAATCAAAAGATACTTATTAACTGAAGAATCCAACAAAATATCATAATAAGAGCTGCTTCATAGACATTGATGTCCATATGAGTGGTGTACCTCTAACACCACAGAGGGCCACAGATAAAAAGCACAGGAAATATCAAATAAAAGCCCTGGGGATTTCTAGAATATCACTAAATTTCCAATTGTGGTGTCAACATTATTAAACAGTATTTATCATTGCAACTAAAAAAGAGAATGACATGATAATTATAAACTTCCTCCGAAAAAAAATTACATCAGTATGCAGGTGCTAACCATAATATGTACTTAGTATGCTAAGTGACAAAATCAAATAAAAACACAAAAACGCCCATACCAATGATTACAAAGCTCTGCTACTTACTCTTGTATTCACNGCTAACCATAATATGTACTTAGTATGCTAAGTGACAAAATCACAAAAACGCCCATACCAATGATTACAAAGCTCTGCTACTTACTCTTGTATTCACTCCACGTGCCGTGGGAAAACATACGAAGCATATCAAGGTACACAGAATGCTCAGTTCCTTGAAGCTGCATATAAGTCCATTAATTAGAACACGAACTAGTAAGTGATGCTAATGTATAGCTATACAGAGTTGGTGTAACACCATTCCAACAATGGAGCTATCAATTAAACAAAATAAGAACACAGTCATCAGGTGAATCATGTATCCTACATATGGATGAATCATAACAGCAAAGAGACATAAAAAGACAAGAAGAATACTGTGATTATTATAGTCTAACTAACAAAATACTTATTTGAATCTAGTGCATGAAAATGATTTGTTACATGCCCAAAACAGTTGTTATTTGCTAAGACTGCCTTGATTCAGTTGAGTGTGCAATATACGAACACTTTATTCCATATGGATATGCAGTGGATGCTCCACCAATGCACGGAACCAACTCTTTTTGGATGATAATGTTGTGTGGAATAATGACAAGTTATGACCCCAGAATCATAAATTCATTGTCACAGCCTCACATCACCTCTTGCAAATAAGAATATATCTATTGTATTAGTTTTGAAGACCATTGCACTAATTTGCTACATACATCTGGCTCTAGATTCCTAGAAATAAAGAAAAATAGTTGGTTGTTCCATATGCTGCTCTCAATCATATCATCTTCATCCAACCACCACTCTTTGAACAAAATGTAACAAATCAACAATTGAGGGCATCCCAAGCCGTACAACTTGAATACCGATTCAAACTGCCCGCGAATGCATAAACATCAATATATATCAAACAAAACAATTGTAACCAAACTATCCCGTTCATCAAGCCAAACACGTTGTTACTGCACAAACAAATAATCTATCCGGAAAAACACTAGAAACCCCACTAAACTTTCGACCAAAACTACCAAACATGTTACTACGCAATCAAAAAACTATCCGGAAGAACACTAGAAAACCCACAAAACTTTAAACAAAACTACTAAAAATATATCGGAAATTACTCAAACAATTCCATACCATTTTATCAACAAACAAAAAAAAAACAATCATACCCCATTCCAAGAGGAATAATATTATTCAGTGTATGTCAATCATGTAGAATTTTCAGACCTCGAGAACGTTGAGAACGGCGAGAATCTCGGAAAAGGCGAAGAGAGAGGGATGGGAAGTGGCTTCAACGATGATATTGGCAAGGGAAGGGCCTTTGTGTAGCGAGGCTTGCTTGACGAAGTACTCGATGTGCTCTTCTTGCTTTTGTTCGATATCCATCTTTCAAAATCTTTGCAGATATAAATATAAATATATATACACAGACAAATATATATATTTATATATATGTGTGTGTGTCTCTTTTTGGGCAGAGAAGAAAACTAGGGTTTTGCAATCTGATTGCAAGAGAAAAGACTATACCTTGATTGATACACAGGACGTTTCAGGGTTTAGGAATTGAAATGACTCGCCAGAAAGAATCACCAGAGACGTAGAGAGTTTTGAGAAGTAAGAAAGACACCAGCTGTGCCTTTGCCTCGCTGTGTATTTATATAGGTGGCTTTTCTGTGTGCTTGCTTCAGCCGGATGTTTTGAGGGGGTCTGTCGTTTAACTGTCCCACCAAAAGCACTACATACACACCGTGAATAATTAAGTATGTGCACCTCTTTAATAAAAAAAATTATCGTATAAAAAAATAATAAATTTAAATGCATAAATATATTTATAAAACCAAAAAAAAAATTAAGCAAAACTAAAACAAGACAAAAAATGAAATAAATATGCCAAAACAAGAAAAATAGATAAGCTGATCAAAACAAAAATAAAAGAAAATAACGATATAAGAAAAAAAAACAAAAAAAAAATAAGCAAACTGAAACAAGTAGGAAAAAAATAAACAAAAATTAAAGGAACAAACAAAATTACAAGACATAAAACTAAATATGAACAAAAAAAGAATAAGTATTAAACACAAATACAAAATTGATCAGGAAGAAAATAACAATTATAGATGCAAAACTCCAACAAGATAATAAATAACAAAAAATCTGAAAACAAACATATATATACATACATATAAATTCTAAATAAAAAATTATTAAACTTGACAAATATATCAAAATATATTGAAAATAATGAAAATTCATAAAACAAACATGAAATTAAACATATAATCAAATTAATAAGAAATACTAACTTGTATTTTACTGAAAAAATTCATATTAAAAAAAATATTTTTTAATACATGAGATGAAATAGAGCATAAAATCTTACCTATGACAAAATATAAAGTGAGTTNTCATATTAAAAAAATATATTTTTTAGTACATGAGATGAAATAGAGAATAAAATCTTACCTATGACAAAATATAAAGTGAGTTTATTTATTAAAAGGGGTGTATGTAGTATAGGGTAAATTTAGTTATTAGTAATGGGGTAAGTATAAAAAGGTGAATTTAATAGTTTGATAATGAAAAATTAAATGAGATAAAAATAAAAATTTGTGGGGTAAAAATAACTCTGCCCAAAAATGGTCCGTCAACCTGAACTCAAGAAAATTACCAAATTTTCCCATTCGATTAAAGATAAGTCGTCACACTAAGACAAGTGAATAAAGAAAATAAATTATTATTTTAAAATATAAACATCGCACTATTAATATTCGTTTTTTAGAGGCATGCGTTGTTTTAATGACAAAATTTAGGGGGTTTAAATGTAATTTATCCTGATTCAATTTAATCAGACAAAGTAAAACCGACTAATTATTTATCGATCCATTTACACGCCTCCATTCAAATCTCTCTCTCTCTCTCAAATTGCAGAGAGATGGCGAAGCCCTTGGCCGATTTTGGAAGCAACAGAGCAGCCGTTCAAGCAACAAACGATGATGCTTCGGCGAGTAAACTGTACGTCTTAATCCCCTCACACAGCATGCTCATATTCATTTTATTTTTTTTATTCCTAAATTACTTTTGCGATATATTCATGTATATTTATGCACACACACATATACATATATGCCCACGCCCAGATTCAGATGTGTAGCCATGGTTATATCTCTGATTGGTTGCCGAGAAAAGAGGAGGGGGAAAAGAAAAGAAAAGAAAAGAATTAAGAAATATGTAGAGGGAATACCGATGGAGGTTACCTACAAATTGTCAATTGTATTAGGCTATGCAGCGAGGTAATTTGGGGTTTCGGCCCGAAACTAATGAGAATTGACTGATTAAAGAACTTGGTACTTCACTATTTGGTGTAGATTTTCAGAGCAACCAAACAGAACACTATCTTGTGGTAATTCTTGGGATTCTCTTTTAGTGTTTATTATGCAAGGGCTTACTTACTGACTACTCAGAGAGAGAGAGAGAGAGAGAGAGAAGCGGTTTTGTTGAGTAGTTATAACCTGGATTTGATGTTTATCCCACATAGATTGTTAAAAGCACGTTTCAAGAGGTAACCCTTAATCTTCTCCATAGATTTAGGGTTCTCAATTTGTATTAATCATGAATAGATTTTAGAATGAGAAATTAATTTTTAATTTAAAAAAAAAAAATTTCATTGGTGGTTATTATATGATTTGTGTTTATTATATGATTCCTTTCCGTATAGTTCTAGCTGATGAATGAGCAGTTTTAATTGCGGCCAGGCTACTCACTAGGAGTGACGATTTCCTTCTGTATAGTTCTAGCTGATGAATGAGCAGTTTTAATTGCGGCCAGGCTACTCACTAGGAGTGACGATTTCCTTGGTTACTTTAGATTATGTTAGATCTGAGGTTTTATAGCTGTGGGGAATTTAACAAAAGTGAACTGCTCCTTTTGCTTATTATTTTTGTATCTTTATGTGCTCATATTATGCTTGTTGATTATCATGTTGATGGATCCAGGAGCCACAATACCCTGACGACATATATTATTTCTACATGTTATTCTGTGATCGTGATCAGCCACACCGGAACAAATAATACACTCTTTCGTTTCTTAATTTTCTACAGTTTCACGGTCAGCATGTATGATATAGTTGGATGCTTATGTGAGACTTTTTTTATGATCATTTGGAGTAGAGAATTTTATAATATGATTCATCTATTTTGGAATATGTTGACATTTTATTACTCACAATGTTTTACCGATGACATTAGTCTTTGAACACTNCAAACAAAACAATTGTAACCAAACTATCCCGTTCATCAAGCCAAACACGTTGTTACTGCACAAACAAATAATCTATCCGGAAAAACACTAGAAACCCCACTAAACTTTCGACCAAAACTACCAAACATGTTACTACGCAATCAAAAAACTATCCGGAAGAACACTAGAAAACCCACAAAACTTTAAACAAAACTACTAAAAATATATCGGAAATTACTCAAACAATTCCATACCATTTTATCAACAAACAAAAAAAAAACAATCATACCCCATTCCAAGAGGAATAATATTATTCAGTGTATGTCAATCATGTAGAATTTTCAGACCTCGAGAACGTTGAGAACGGCGAGAATCTCGGAAAAGGCGAAGAGAGAGGGATGGGAAGTGGCTTCAACGATGATATTGGCAAGGGAAGGGCCTTTGTGTAGCGAGGCTTGCTTGACGAAGTACTCGATGTGCTCTTCTTGCTTTTGTTCGATATCCATCTTTCAAAATCTTTGCAGATATAAATATAAATATATATACACAGACAAATATATATATATTTATATATATGTGTGTGTGTCTCTTTTTGGGCAGAGAAGAAAACTAGGGTTTTGCAATCTGATTGCAAGAGAAAAGACTATACCTTGATTGATACACAGGACGTTTCAGGGTTTAGGAATTGAAATGACTCGCCAGAAAGAATCACCAGAGACGTAGAGAGTTTTGAGAAGTAAGAAAGACACCAGCTGTGCCTTTGCCTCGCTGTGTATTTATATAGGTGGCTTTTCTGTGTGCTTGCTTCAGCCGGATGTTTTGAGGGGTCTGTCGTTTATATGTCCCACCAAAAGCACTACATACACCCCGTGAATAATTAAGTATGCGCACCACTTTAATAAAAAAAATTATCGTATAAAAAAATTACATATTTAAATGCATAAATATATTTATAAAACCAAAAAAAAAATTAAGCAAAACTAAAACAAGACAAAAAATGAAATAAATATGCCAAAACAAGAAAAATAGATAAGCTGATCAAAACAAAAATAAAAGAAAAGAACGAAATAAGAAAAAAAAACATAAAAAAATAAACAAACTGAAACAAGTTGGAAAAAAATAAACAAAAATTAAAGGAACAAGCAAAATTACAAGACACAAAACTGAATATGAAAAAAAAAGAGAATAAGTATTAAACACAAATACAAAATTGAACAGGAAGAAAATAACAATTATAGATGCAAAACTTCAACAAGATAATAAATAACAAATAATCTGAAAACAAACATATATATACATACATATAAATTCTAAATAAAAAATTATTAAACTTGACAAATATATCAAAATATATTGAAAATAATGAAAATTCATAAAACAAACATGAAATTAAACATATAATCAAATTAATAAGAAATACTAACTTGTATTTTACTGAAAAAATTCATATTAAAAAAAATATTTTTTAATACATGAGATGAAATAGAGCATAAAATCTTACCTATGACAAAATATAAAGTGAGTTTATTTATTAAAAGGGATGTATGTAGGATAGGGTAAATTTAGTTATTAGTAATGGGGTAAGTATAAAAAGGTGAATTTAATAGTTTGGTAATGAAAAATTAAATGAGATAAAAATAAAAATTTGTGGGGTAAAAATAACTCTGCCCAAAAATGGTACCTTCAACCTGAACTCAAGAAAATTACCAAATTTTCCCATTCGATTAAAGATAAGTCGTCACACTAAGACAAGTGAATAAAGAACATAAATTATTATTTTAAAATATAAACATCGCACTATTAATATTCGTTTTTTAGAGGCATGCGTTGTTTTAATGACAAAATTTAGGGGGTTTAAATATAATTTATCCTGATTCAATTTAATCAGACCGAGTAAAACCGACTAATTATTTATCGATCCATTTACACGCCTCCATTCAAATCTCTCTCTCTCTCTCAAATTGCAGAGAGATGGCGAAGCCCTTGGCCGATTTTGGAAGCAACAGAGCAGCCGTTCAAGCAACAAACGATGATGCTTCGGCGAGTAAACTGTACGTCTTAATCCCCTCACACAGCATGCTCATATTCATTTTATTTTTTTTATTCCTAAATTACTTTTGCGATATATTCATGTATATTTATGCACACACACATATACATATATGCCCACGCCCAGATTCAGATGTGTAGCCATGGTTATATCTCTGATTGGTTGCCGAGAAAAGAGGAGGGGGAAAAGAAAAGAAAAGAAAAGAATTAAGAAATATGTAGAGGGAATACCGATGGAGGTTACCTACAAATTGTCAATTGTATTAGGCTATGCAGCGAGGTAATTTGGGGTTTCGGCCCGAAACTAATGAGAATTGACTGATTAAAGAACTTGGTACTTCACTATTTGGTGTAGATTTTCAGAGCAACCAAACAGAACACTATCTTGTGGTAATTCTTGGGATTCTCTTTTAGTGTTTATTATGCAAGGGCTTACTTACTGACTACTCAGAGAGAGAGAGAGAGAGAGAGAGAGAGAAGCGGTTTTGTTGAGTAGTTATAACCTGGATTTGATGTTTATCCCACATAGATTGTTAAAAGCACGTTTCAAGAGGTAACCCTTAATCTTCTCCATAGATTTAGGGTTCTCAATTTGTATTAATCATGAATAGATTTTAGAATGAGAAATTAATTTTTAATTTAAAAAAAAAAAATTTCATTGGTGGTTATTATATGATTTGTGTTTATTATATGATTCCTTTCCGTATAGTTCTAGCTGATGAATGAGCAGTTTTAATTGCGGCCAGGCTACTCACTAGGAGTGACGATTTCCTTCTGTATAGTTCTAGCTGATGAATGAGCAGTTTTAATTGCGGCCAGGCTACTCACTAGGAGTGACGATTTCCTTGGTTACTTTAGATTATGTTAGATCTGAGGTTTTATAGCTGTGGGGAATTTAACAAAAGTGAACTGCTCCTTTTGCTTATTATTTTTGTATCTTTATGTGCTCATATTATGCTTGTTGATTATCATGTTGATGGATCCAGGAGCCACAATACCCTGACGACATATATTATTTCTACATGTTATTCTGTGATCGTGATCAGCCACACCGGAACAAATAATACACTCTTTCGTTTCTTAATTTTCTACAGTTTCACGGTCAGCATGTATGATATAGTTGGATGCTTATGTGAGACTTTTTTTATGATCATTTGGAGTAGAGAATTTTATAATATGATTCATCTATTTTGGAATATGTTGACATTTTATTACTCACAATGTTTTACCGATGACATTAGTCTTTGAACACTGATGCTTTACTTTCAAAGGTCCTGTATCAAGAAGGGATACATGAAAGATGACTACATTCATTTGTTTGTGAGAAGGCCTGTGAGGAGATCTCCAATAATCAACCGTGGTATGAANTGATGTATGTGGTTTCAAAGGTCCTGTATCAAGAAGGGATACATGAAAGATGACTACATTCATTTGTTTGTGAGAAGGCCTGTGAGGAGATCTCCAATAATCAACCGTGGTATGAATTGATTGGTTCCAGAGATTGGAGTTGACACACTAAGTCTCCTCATTGTTAATGGTTTTGATTCAATCTTTTATATTATATTAAGGTTATTTTGCTCGTTGGGCTGCTCTTCGAAAGCTTCTCCTTCAATTTCTTGATTGTGAGATACATTCTGATGAAGAAAATCACACCAAGAAGCAAATATTGTCACTAGGAGCTGGCTTTGACACCACCTATTTTCAGTTGCAGGTGCATGAGCTTCCTAGTGAGTTGAGTTGAACAATTGACACAACTTCATTAGCTTTTCTTCTACCAACATGCAGTGTGTTTTCTTATATTATAAGTTCCTGACTATTAGTAACATGGAAGTTAATGCTTAAGCTATATACTTCATTAGGTTGCTTTTTTCATGTACACATATTAATGTGGCCAAGATCAACTTGCGTTTAACTTTTGATGATAGTTTTTTATTCATACAACCCTTAACCTTCAGGCGAATCTGCGGCTTGTAAACCCATTGTTCTGTTGGGAATTCTATCCAAGCCTAGGTATGCCAGTTTTCAAGTTAATGGGAGATCAATAACTATCCCATCCCCCTAACACACCAACTTAGTGCTAGAGCATGTGTTTAAATGTTATTATATCCATCAGTCCACCATCAAAGACCAGTCAATTTGAGATTTGGCGGGCGTGATTGTATTGGATGATTTGCAAAAATTTGGAGCACATGAAAAGCCGTAGACAGGGTTCAGGCTGTGTCCTGCCCCATGTTTCTATACGTATGCAAGCCATTGGTACAGATGTATGCCTTATTCAGTAGTGGATTTTTTGTGGTAGTTCCTCTATTGGAACAGGAAGAATAAGTGTTTGGGGTTTTAGTTGTAAAAATTTTATTTGTCTATGACAGGATGAAGGGAGAGCGCCATATCTGTACGTGGAACTGGATTTTAAGGAGGTGAGAATCTGAAATATTCATCTTGTTTTTGTTGACGTGGCTGATGTATGTGGCATGTGAGGGTGCAGTCCACTGATTGAGGTGGACCCTGTATTTTATGTCAAAGAAGCTTGGGATATCCTAGCTACATCTTGTAGACCCATTATCAACTTTGTACTCAGAAGTCATATATTCTTTGTTGTTTCAATTATTGATATGACTGACAAGAATGATAAGTTTTTGATATCTGTTTATTAGGTGACTAGTAAGAAGGCAGCTCTTATTGAGACCAACGGTCAGCTGAGGGACAAAGTTGGTGAAACAGCATCAATATCATTAGGTATTGAGTCTCTTTATAGCTGATGTTACAACTACAAACTTCACAAGTGTGCTTGTTTATTTTTCTGAGCTATGTGATTATTTTAGTAATGTACTATAAATTTTGCATGGCCAAAATGGTCTGTTTTGCTTGCCAGTAAAATTTTAACTTGTTGACTTGCCCAAAGAAAAAAAGTTAACTTGTTGAATTCAGTTTGGGATTAATGTGGCCTTCTATATAGGAATTAGCTGGGAAGCATATACTATAGAAATGCCATTATAGATTGTTGGGCAACACTTGGGATGTGCATCTCCATTACATCTTAATGCACATGGAAAAATTACGTGTTTGATGGATTTCATATGTACTACATTTTAGCACTGATCATGTTGACGCCGTTACATCTGGTACACTTACAAGATCATTTAATGTTGCATGAGTGCCGGATCTTACAATTCCAATTCTGAGTTTAAATGTGGTTGCTCTGGAAGTGGAACTGATTTTTTGAGTATTATGGACGTTTATAGTGTTGTAAACTATTGTTTTTCATGTCACTAAACTTTGATAGTCACTGTTTTGGAATTTTCTTCAGCATTTTTTGTTTAGCTTGTCCTTGTACTTTACTCAAATTATCTTGCTCTGCTCAAGGATTTGCGATTTTGTAGAGAAAGGGGAAGTACTCGGTGATCAATACAAACTACTTCCTGTTGATTTGCGCAACATACAGAAATTAGATGATATCATAGAATTGTCTAATTTGGACCCCAGGTGTGTGCATTGCTCCATTTTCATTTGTAAGCTAGTGATTTCTGATATATGCCACAGAAACTACTTACAAAGCTTTTGGGTGATTGATATTTCTTTTTTCTTGACCTTGTTTAATTGCTTTCTACACTATCAATTTTTCATATTTCATCTTTTCATGAAGATGTTAACCATGTATTGTGTTGTTTCACTTGCTAAACTGGTGACAAAAATTGTATGATGTACATTTAGCTCTTGGGTTATTTAGTTCATCGTATTCATTATTCAATGAATAAAAGTTTGATGCGGTGAGATTTATTTAGATTTCATTTTCTTGAATTGCTAATGTGCTGGAAACTTTGCAATTTTTATGCTGTCCAGAATTCTGAATAATTAGTTATATATATGGTGTTAAATTTTCTTAGCTTCTCACATTTTGTGGAATTTTTGTATCAGTTGTGCCTTTTGTTGTATAACCTGTTCCCCATTGTTTATGATTCGTTTTTACAAATGCGTATTACTTGATATGCATATCTCTGATTCATAATTTAATGAAATAATGGTATTATATTAAAATAGTTTCCCCTTTGCTTCTCATTCATTCCCAAATAACCTACCTATTTATTTTTTCAGCTGCAAGCCTGCAACTGTGTAATTTTTTCCACCACAAGTGACACGTATGGTGGTGGAAAACAGATCTTATGATGATGACTACATTCTGTCCAAACAGCTCATTTGATGGATAGTTTGTAGGATGCTAGGAATTTGCATATCAAAATGTCATGGACTTGGAAAATTAGGACATGGAGATTTGTAGATACAAAAAACCTTAGAAGCTCCTTAACACTCTCTGCTCTATGTGTTTGATTCTGTCTTTTCTTATTTCTATCCTCTTTTATCTATTCACTTGTAATCTTGTGAAGTGCTGATTTCATCATATTTGCAATCATGTGAAGGGATGTTTAAGCTTCTTAATACTGATGTTGTTATCAGCCTGCCAACATTTATAATTGCAGAATGCGTTTTGATATACTTGGATCCAGATTCAAGTTGTGCTATAGTTGGTTGGGCTTCAAAAACATTTTCTACAGCTATATTCTTTTTATACGAGCAGGTTGTGCAACTTTCCAAACTTCAAATCCACAACTTTATTTTTGCTTTTCTCTCTCATTGCCCTCTGGTTGCCTATTTTCTAGCATTTTACTTTGGTGATCCTAGTTTCTTTGGTTTTTACTTTGGCATTCATCAGATCCATCCTGACGACGCTTTTGGGCAGCAAATGATAAGAAATTTGGAGGTATTGTGCTTTTTTTTTTTCAATAATCAGCTTACTTGGTTTTGAACTAAATGACAATTTTCCCTTTTATTATGTATCTGGTTAGTAAATAATAATTTTTTTTTGTTGGTTGCTAAATCTATTTTTTTGCCTGAATGTTCCTTTAATATATTTTTTCAAGTTTTTACTTTTTCCATAAACAAAAATATCACTGACAGATAAATATTTAATTGCATTAATCTGTAAGTGTATACAAGTCTATTCTTCGACCATTTTTTCAATGGTGACACAATCTCATACAACTGCTGTTTAGGCCAAGACTTCCCAATTTCGAAGAGATTTTAATATTCTTATTTTGTTTCAGAGTCGAGGCTGTGGACTACTGAGCATTTATGCTACACCAACTTTGCTTGCCAAGGAAAAACTTTTTCTTGATCAAGGATGGCAGGTATTATGTCAATACATGGAGTTGTTTCTCAGATTATCTTAAAATTTACCATTAGATGTTAGCTGGAGTGATATTTCTTCTGATAACAGAGAGGAGGTACAGGCTCCCTCGTCAACTGGGATGCAGTGATGTTTGGTTCTATAAAAAATTGGATGGCACAAGACCTTACTTTTTACCAAAAATTATTTTTTGAATTGGTGTCATCAAGTTAGTTTGGATTCTTTGGAATCCTGAAAGGGCAGTAAATAGACATCTGGTTGCATGATACAGTTTAAGGCGGGTGCATAATGATGGCCTATGCAGCGATAATCACTGTGGGATGATCTGAATCTACCCCTCACCCCCACCCCTGCCTCTTCTCCGCCCTACTGTCCGCAATGGAATTTAAAATGACCCAAAATAAGTTTGGATGTAAACACACACCCATGGAAACAATTTTTTCTGCCTTTGCAGGTTGGCAAATTACACTTTCGGGGTTTGAGACTCTCAATCATTGATATTTAAAATTTGTTTCCTTATGCTTTTGATTTTTTGATTTTGTAAGTCGGTTTTGCCCTTTCTTTCATTTCTCTCTTTGTTTTCTTATTTTCTTTGATGTAGTTTATTCTTGTATTTGTATTTCCTAATGCATCTGTGATGGTCACCACGAGGTTCTTCAGAGGGCTGTTGCCTGGGACATGCTGAGAGTTTATAGTGATTTTATTGAGGCTAAAGAAAGACGCAGGTAATTTTCTTTAAAAGTGCAGTACAGCAGAAGTAATATGTATACTGCTGATGATGTCGTTTTGGTTTTTTGTCATGGAATATCTGATGATGATCAAGATTGGCCAATTGCCATTCTTAGTGGTCACAGTAAACATTATTGACTTTTAGCTAACTATTAGGGTGTCATTGTGAAAATCCAATATTTGCATCCAAGTATCTTGAAGAATGTGTTCTTCCATTACCCGTGAAGCTGTACAATTGTCTTTCTTCCTCATCAATGCTACATGTATGCTTCACATAGGGAACCCTGTTGTACAAAATATTCATGATGTATTGCAATGACTTCCCATTTTTTACCCACCTAGGTGAACACAGAATCTGTGAATTTAAGAAGATCTGAGAGCCTGATGAACACAAATTTGAACACACACCTGGATGTAAGATGTGTACCCAACTCCATGTAACATAGATGATACATACTGATTTTCATCTGACTATCTTTGCTGGTTGATGGTTCTTGTCCTCTATGTGTTTTCTCTCTATATTTCTTCCGATGGTGTTTCTTGTAGGAGAAAAACTTCTCCGGCCGTAAGTTTTTGGTTCTAACTCGTACTAAATTTATGGTCCTTTGGAATTCCCCTGCCGGGAATTATCATCATTTATTTATCAGCAACCTTGGCCACCTCTGTGAATTCCCTGTGATGTTAATTGAGTATAAAAATAATGATACGAACTATTGGTATGTGCTTTTTAAAGCTCAGCTTCTTGAAAGGTGGACCGGCCATGTAGTTTATACATGTCTTTTTGTGTACATAGGGAGATGTGAATAGCTAGTAGTTTAGGAACATGAGTAGCAATTTTGAGATTGTTATCATTAAGGGAAAACAGTATTCAGAGTAAACAATTATTGTTGGTGTGTAGTTTTTCATTTTGAATATGTTTTTCCCCTTCAAAGGTTATTATGGACAGAATAGAGGGTATCTGGAAATTTGATTTCCAGGGGTGGGACTAAAGCATTTTCTAATTTTAGGATCAAAGTACCATGCGTTTATGTAATTAATTTTCCTACTCTTCAAAAACAGAGAATCACTTTTCCCTGAATTTTATAACTTCCCAGTTATACTGTGATTCCATTATTGTGATAACTAAAAGCACACCTTTGTAACGTTCTAAAGGGTCTTTTTGGAAGTGTAAAGGTTTACAAGGAAGATTTGCATTTTCTGAATTATTTCTGTGTTTTAATGTCTAGGATTGAACGATTGGAATTATTCGATGAATTTGAAGAGTGGTACATGATGCAGGCAAGTTTCTTACTATCCTTTTGTGTGCTAACAGAAAAGAAAATAAAAAAGGAAAAAAAGGATTACCATAACATCCATTACTATAGGTAAAGGGTGTCATGGATTTAGATTCCCTCCATTACCCCTTCTCTTCAATTTCCCTCAATATAGTGCTAGATGAGTGACACGTGTAAGATTTTAAATTTCAATAGATAAGATGTTTCCTCATTCATTTTGTTGTTGATGGAGTGTTAACCATTATTAAGGAATTTTCTCACAATCTTGTCCATTAAAATTCAGATTCTTACACATATCACTCATCTAGATTGTATTGAGGGAAATTGAAGGGAAGGGGTAATGGAGGGGATCCGAATCCGTGATGGACACTAAACATGAACATCAAAATTCAGTACAATAAAGATGATGCCTTAAGGTCAACTGCCACAGTTAATTTAAGTGATGTTAGTTGCTGGCTATTCTATGACTTGACAGATTTAAATCAAGGTTTTTTAAAAAAATTTCCAAAAATGTGAAGTCTCTATCTTGTTTTCTGATTTGAATGAGTTTTCAGTTTTACATTTGGGACTGTTGTCCGTAATTTTAACAAAGGAGACATTCTCCTTTGGTAACACAAAAAACTTGCCGGGTTGTGTGTGATCTGGGTGAAAGACCAGTGAAATAGAGATTTAACGTACAAGTTGATTTTCTTTTTCTCAAAATTCTCGAACTGAGGAGATTTAACCTAATGAGAACAACTTTGACGATGTTATTTCTTATTTTATAATGCTGACTTGCAGGAGCACTACTGTGTGACTTATGCAATCAACGATGCCATGGTGTGTATATATATCAGAGCCACTCAATTCATTCCCCACATATGTGTGTGTGTGTGTGGATATATATATATATACACACATACACACACTAGCCACTCAATATTGCTTACCACATTTTGTTGGCCATTTTTCTCACTCATTGTCAATTGATGCTTCAGGGCGTGTTCAAGAATTTTGGTTTCCCTGATGACACCTCCTCAACATCATCCCAATGAAGGCTTGAGCTCTTGTCAGANCACATATGTGTGTGTGTGTGTGTGGATATATATATATATATACACACATACACACTAGCCACTCAATATTGCTTACCACATTTCGTTGGCCATTTTTCTCACTCATTGTCAATTGATGCTTCAGGGCGTGTTCAAGAATTTTGGTTTCCCTGATGACACCTCCTCAACATCATCCCAATGAAGGCTTGAGCTCTTGTCAGATCATAATTCTTTTCAAACTTGGATAATTATTATTGATGTGGCAAGAAGCACGTGAGTAGAATGTGCCAGCCAACCAAGAGAGCATCAGGTATTTTAAAGGGTCTCTCAACCCGTAGTTACTCCTAGCTAAGTTTGTAAAAGGATNGCTAATTATTGTTGATGTGGCAAGAAGCACGTGAGTAGAATGTGCCAACCAACCAAGAGAGCATCAGGTATTTTAAAGGGTCTCTCAACTCGTAGTTACTCCTAGCTAAGTTTGTAAAAGGATGATGACTTGTGTGGATGCATATANGATAATTATTATTGATGTGGCAAGAAGCACGTGAGTAGAATGTGCCAGCCAACCAAGAGAGCATCAGGTATTTTAAAGGGTCTCTCAACCCGTAGTTACTCCTAGCTAAGTTTGTAAAAGGATGATGACTTGTGTGGATGCATATATGTTTGTTTTGTTTGACTCAAAATGAAATCCTTCCTTTTGCTAGCTGTTTGGCCAAAAAAAGAAAGGGGTGGGACCTGTGCAACACAAAGATTGTTATTCCATGGGTTGTGGGGTTCTGATCTGTGGGGAAAAACTTGCATATCCTTATCCCTTCGTATGTTTTGAATTTTACCCGAGTGCACTCGTTTTGTTGATATACAAAATCAATGTGCCATCGTGACCTACATGATAGATACTGTGTTGAAGAAAGAATGCTACTTTATTTGGTTTTAGGGGTTGGTGTTGTTAAGAGGAAAGCTGCTGGAGGAGAAGTTTCATCAGTCTTTTATATTATACTTCAAGCACAATACATAGGAAATATGAGAAGGGAAGAGGGGATTAGAACCTGTAAGGTAGCTTGGATCAGAAAAGTTTTAAGGGGTTGTTATTTCAAGATCTGAAAGTTTAATTTTTGTAAGAAAAATCTCATTATTTAATGCATCTAGTCTATAGGTGATTGTGCAAATCGCGAGTTACAAATCCCAAGTTATGCTTAATTGGAATGGTTGCCAGTCATAGGGAACAAACAAGGAATAGAAAAAAGGGGATAGGGGCCATTCTAGAATTAGTTATGCCCATTAGTGGTTTTGGAATAAACTAGTAATAGTTGCTTGTGTTCACCTTTTTAGGAGGCTATAGTTATTTCACTTTTTATGGATTGCAGCCTATACATAGATAGCACCCTTGTTTCCTTTCCTACTTTTTAGGCTCTTTGGATGCTATTAATCCCCCTTTAGGGGAATGAATAACTGTTGTTTTCTAGGATAAGTGATATAAAAGTAATAAATAATAATAATTTATTGTTTCAGCTTTTTAGGTCACACCATCGATCACCTTTCGGCTCAGGAGATCTTGGGTATTTTTTGGCATTCTTTTCTTAAATAAAGGTTATCTGTGCTTGGTGGTTGGTTGGTTATATATGGTATTTTGCCTCGTAGTTTCTATGGGGGTGGAATAGGATTAGGCAACTCAAAAGGTAGCTCAAATGATAATAGAAACGAGCTGTAAATTTAAACGTCTTAAGTTTGAATTTTGGTAGCATTTTAGTGCCGGGTTATGGGAGATATATCTCTTATGAATTTTTTATTTCTGACGTGGATGACCAGTTTTTAACTGGACCAAGAAACTAAAAAAAAAAAAAAAAGCATGGGACTAGGCGAATCCAGCTGGCTAGCTAGTGGATTAAAAGCCGTGTGTTTGTGGGTACTTCATTCAGTAAAGTTAGGGGTCAAGGGAGCATTTCTCAACGTTAAAACTTTGTCGAAAGCAATGGCTTAAGAAAGTAAAGAAAAAAGGTCCAAAATTGGGACAAAGGGGATGCTTGTGATTGTAAGAGGTTGGGTCCAAATGCCATTTGGCAAGAGAAAAGGTGGGCGGGAAAAGAGCTTTTCACCATTCTCAATCTCTTTACTTTTACCTTCTACCTCTCCTCTCTCTTCTTTATAGGTTTGGTCCAAAAAGAACAATTTAATAAGGGTAAATTTTATTTTG